AAATGCGAATGAGGTCATTCACTTGAGCGGCTTCATGCCTAAGTCCTTCCTGATTTTGTTCCATCGTTCTATAGACAATGCATCCTTTTTATTTTCCTCGACGTCAGAATCGTCTTTTTTCTTCCTCTCTTTTTCGTGCCTTTCTTTTTCCTTCCTTTCTTTTTTCTTCCTTTCTTTTTTCTTCCTTTCTTTTTCCTGCCTTTCCTTTTCCCGCCCTTCTTTTCCCTTCCTTTCCTTCTTTTTTTTCTTCTCCTCATCCGACTCTTCACGCGCGCATCGCCTCTTCTTCTCCCTCCTGCGAGCCTCGGGCGATTCACTCGTGGAGTAGCTTCTTCGCCCTTCTGAAGAGCGTCTTTTTTTCTTGTGCCTCGAGTGTTCAGTTAGTTTGTTTTCTCGCCGTTTTGTTCTTTCCCTATCGCGGGAGTAGCTTCGATCCCTATGCCTGCCCCGATTGCGGCTCCGATCGCTATCCCTGTCTCGATCGCGGCTTTGGTTACTATCCCTGCCCCGATCGCGACTCCGGTGTCTACCTCTGTCCCTGCTCCTGCTGCCGCGCCTGCCTCTCTCCCAGTACCCATTTCTCTTTTTCCCTTTGCCCCTCTCTACATGGCTACTCCCCCCCGATCCGTATCCACTAGTGGGGGGGTTATCTCCCCCCCGCCTCTTCACCCCCTTGTCAAGGTTCCTACCAGGGGGATCATCCCCCCCTTCCTCGACTTGATTCTCAAATAGTTCATTCCCCGAGGAAATATTTAGCAACTCTTTATAGTAGTCCAAATTAACCTTCTCTAGAAGATTATTATCTTCTAATACTTGTCTTTTTGTGAGGCTTGGAAAATCGACGTCCAAAAAGTTATTCATAATTAAGCAGTTGTCCACAAATTGATCCATGTAAATTTTCTCGAAGGTGCCATTCTGCAACCTGATTCTCATTTTTCTGTAATCATATAAAATGGGTTCTAAGTGACGATATATTTCTAGACTCTTTCCAATCAGTCTAAGGTAGAAAATGCCCAGAGCTCTTAAATAAATGAATTCTTCATTTTTTATATACTCGAAGATTATATCTTTGTCTGGTTGGATTTGTAGTAATTTCAGCACTAAGCAGAGGAACCGAGTTGGCTTCCTGTTTCCCCCGTAGGTTCCTCCAACGTACTTTAGGTTCACCGCTTGGTCGATAATCGATTCGGCTGCAAATGGGATAAAGAAGAAAAAAAAAGGGGGGCATCCGTGTAGGTGGGGAAGAGCAGCATACCTACACGCACTTGCATAAGTACTTGCAGATGCACTTGCAGATTTAGATACATATTTGCATGCATATTTACACGCAGATTTGCATGCAGATTTATATGCATATTTACATGCACATTTAGACGCAGATGCACTTGCAAATGCGCATGATAGCGTTGGGCTGCACCCCGCTGGGGTCCGTTCCCCCCTATCACTTGACGAAGAAGGGTACCCCCTAAACGGTCGCAAAGTGCAAGTGATTAACGTGAGGACGCAATTTAGGACGTACATGTCAGGGCAAAGCACTTCTCCTTCCAGTAGGGGCTCTCATATATTTTGCTCCGTATAATATTCGATATTAAGTACTGCGGATTGGAGCCGAAGATTTTGATGGCGCTCACGTCCGTTCGGTTGGCCATTTGATCTCACTTTTTTGTCTCTACGTAGTCCCCCTAGATAGAAGCACACGACATCATGCGCACCTTCTGTCAGATATGAAACAGAAAAAAAGGGGGCTGGCAAAGTTGTATACCAGCTGGGGTATGATTAACCAGGGGGGTTCGTAAAATGGGAAGATGATGGCGGCATTTTTAACCATTGAAATGCTGCTGCGTTGCTCATTCTATGCGGCGTGACATTGGTACTACATGTATTTAATATTATATATACTTTGTAAAGGGGCTGATTTAGGAGGATGCCCTTCTGTTGGCAGCAGTCCTCCCTTCACTTATTTTCTATGCCTCTGGTGAAGAATCCCGCGTGTGGCATTTTCCCTTATCTTGATTTTAGCGTTATCATTTTTGCTTCACCCATCCATCGCGTTGTACCGCTTCGTCATCTACCAAGTCGTTTTTTTTTTTTTATAACTTTGGCATGACTCCTTTTTTTTAGCGCGGCTTATTCTGAAAAAAAAAAAAAAAAACTGCGCCCCCCTTGGAGCATCCGAGCGAGGTGGGCATGAGGAGGCGATACACGACGCACGTATGCATATAAGGCATTATATACGCATGCACATGTTGGTACTATCGTGGGGTAAGTTTTTTCACAGGAGGTAAAACCTAGCTAGGGAAATTAGCCCAACAATTGAAAAGGCCTACCCGCCTCGACAGTTAATAAATGCTGCGCCCTGGTTGCCTCTCCAATCCCTGCACTTTTACATTGTATGCAATGTCGTCCCGGAAATATGTGACACATACATCACGTGGAATTCCAAATTAAACTCGTTTGGGAAAAGGGGGTCCTAAAGTTACACCTCCGCCCATCACCTTAATGAACAGAGCAACTGTGGGGGGGATACTACTCCCCCCCTATGTCCTTATTAAAAGGTGCTTCTCCAGCATGTACTCTCCATGTGTGAAAAGAAACATACCAGAGTACATCGACTTTGATACGTTTTTCCCGAAGAAGGAAATCAAGCCAGATGTTTTGACCGCCTTCACGATGGCAAAGCAACAGAGGCTAGAAAAACTTCTGGAAAATAATCCCCTAGTATTGTACAAAGGGAGAGTAATGAAAAATCTATCATGTGCTAGGATCAAAAATTCAGGGAGAAATAATGTGGGAAAAATCACAACGCGACATAGAGGAGGGGGACATGTCCAAAGGTTAAGATTTATTGACTTTAAAAGATCGAGGAAGGATATTTATAGCACTGTGTTAAGAATAGAATATGACCCATCTAGAAGTGCACATATAGCGTTAGTTCAGTATGAAGACGGGGTATTGTCGTACATTTTGGCTCCCCTTTTGTTAAGGCCTGGAGATAAAATCATTGCAAGTAAATATGCAAATATCAACCCTGGGAATTGTCTACCTTTGAAAAACATCCCTGTGGGAACTATCATTCACAATCTTGAAATGAGACCAGGAGCAGGTGGTCAATTAATGCGAGCAGCTGGTACTTATGCCACTGTACTGAGTAAGGACAGCCAGTATGCTACGATAAAATTGAAGTCAACAGAAATTCGAAAATTCCCACTCGAATGTTGGGCGACTATTGGTCAGGTCTCCAACCTAGAAAGACATATGCGCATTTTAGGCAAAGCGGGAGTCAACCGATGGCTTGGCAGAAGGCCTGTTGTCAGGGGAGTTGCCATGAACCCTTCCAAACATCCGCATGGAGGAGGCACAAGTAAGAAACACACCAAAAGACCAAAGTGCTCTCTCTGGGGGAAATGCAGAGATGGGTTTAAGACACGAAGTAAGAAGAAGCCACTCGGGTTAATCATCAGGAGGAATATTTGTGGCCGCTTGCAGAAGAAGTATGGTGTTACGGTGTGATCTGCACTTTGGGGGGAAGCCCACGCGGGGTATGATTCGCGTTAGTGTCTATGAAATAAAGGGTGACCTCATTCGTGTGCACATCGACTCATGTTGAAGAAGTGCCCTTGGAACGTCTCGCTGAGGGGTGGCAAAATTGGACCCAGTTCCGCCCTAGTAAAAAGACCCCCCTTTTGTGCGTCTTCCTTTTTGTGCTCCTCCCTTTTTGTGCATTTCTGGACGGTTATCTCTGTGTATGCTTCGCTTCATAAAGAGTAACAAAATGGCCCTCTAAATTGGCACAAAAAAACAGATATCAGATGGGTGCTTATTTCGCAGAAAGCCGTGCGCTGACGCGTCACACAGACAAACACACACACAAGAGGGGGGATGGTGCAGATTCCGAAACGTGTTTATGTCCTGTTTAGAGGAACTCATCACCGCAGTATGCAGCACGAGGAGTATCCCCTAGGTGGGCCATCATTTTCGCAGTTACTCTCCAGCGAAATATGCCAAAAGGTGGAGAAATGCGAAAGGGATATTTTTTTTTACGTACCAGTTGAGGCACAAAATGATGTTGCTTTTTTTTTGGGGGGGGCCTACATAGGCAATTCTTTTTTTTTTTTCCTATCAACCTGCCGGTATGAAAAAAAAAAAATAATAATAAAATAAAATACTCGTTCATGTGGAATATGCACATTTTACGTTTTTTCCCACTTGCACGCTTCTTCCCCTTTTCCTCATGCATAAAACGCATGTTCCACGAAAATGAAATAACCCTGTTTGTGTTTCAAAATGATAAGCGTAAATTTTGCTTTTCTTGGAAAAAAAAAACTGTTTCCTTTTTGGAACCACCTCTTTGCATAAACGTAAGGGGGAATGAATTTTTTTAATTATGGCGGGCACTTCCTCACGCGCATTCGTACGTGTACATGATGCTGCAAAATGTATTTATTGAAATGTATTTTTCGCAATGCATTTTTTTCATGTTAGAGTGGGGACTGCGCGAAGTTAGTGGTGTCTTATCGGATGGGCGAACAAGTTGTGTACGCCCATGTTTTAGCGCATTTTTACTTTTTTTCATACGCATGCCCACACTTCAAAGTGGCCACTTAGTTGGACGACTCCATAGGCTACCAAAAACGCGAACATGATGCACATTTTTTAAAAGTTGTAAAAATTACAACGCCAATTTTTGTGATAACCCAATGAGCAAGGGGGAAAAAAGCGAAGTAGTATTTTATTAACTTCTTCCATTGTCCTCTTTAACCGCATTTCCATTTGCACGCGCGAATGGACTCACCTGAGCATAGGCGCATTTATAAGCGTATATCAATGGACGGAATATGTTGGGGGAATTGACACCTTGATCATATGGGGTTTTCCCCATCAGGGGGGAATATGCAAATCGCTTTTAACGCACACGTGCATCAGCGGGGCCGATTTAATTTCCCTCCATGTGTGCCACCACTCGACTAGAAGGAAACGCAACACGTATATCAATATGCACATCATGTGTATGACATGCCATGGTATCGTGTAAACGTATGTATACATAACATATACAGCCAGACATTTAGCAAAACGGCAAGATTTGTTACTTTTTTTTTTTTTTTTGCCAAGTGGTATCCTTTATCTCGTAAAAAATGCAGACACCTTTTTGCAATTCATTTCATTTTTTTTTCAATTTTTCTCCAATTTTTTCCATTTTGTTTCCATTTTGTTTCCACTTTGTTTCCATTTTGTTTCCATTTTTTTCCCACTTCGTTTCCATTTTGTTTCACGAGTCCGCTGATACCTTTGCGGAAAAGTTTTCACAAATCGTGCAATTTTTACTTCCCATATATAAGTTTCTTTTTTTTTCCTCATTTTTGCCAGCTATATCTTTTCCCCAACAGTTTATTATTTCCTTGCTTTTTTAAATTTCAAAGTGAAGTCAAAATTGAAATTGCGAGTTACTTCTGTACAAAATGCAAGTCCATTCTTTCAATCCCATGATCAGGGAGTTTTTGGGAGAATTTTTGGGGACATTTGTGCTTATGTTCCTGGGGGAAGGTGCCACAGCGAATTATTACACCGTGGAAAATGAGAAAGATTGGCTTCGACTATGTATAGGATGGAGTTTGGGAGTATTTTTTGGCATTCTGACAGCGGCCAAATTGAGTGGTGCACATTTGAATTTAGCTGTGACGGTAGGTTTTGCCACGATCAAAAAATTTGATTATAAGAAAGTACCACTATATTGTGTTGCGCAACTTCTGGGGGCATTTTCAGCAACAGCATCCGTCTATGGATTATACTACGGCTTTGTAAACGATAAGAAAATCCCAGAGTATGCATGGGAAACAGGGAGAAACGGAGTTATAGGCTTTCCCAGTGCCTTTATGCACGAATTAGTACTAACAGGCATTTTACTCCTGGTGATATTACTAGTGGTTGACGAAAATGTATGTGGACATTTCAATGTTTTAAAACTCAGTGCCGTAGTTGGATTGACCATCTTATGCATAGGTTTAAGCTTTGGTGGAAATACCGGATTTGCCCTTAACCCCTCACGAGATTTAGGCGCCAGATTACTTTCCCTAGTAGCCTACGGACCCGATGCCTTCAAAAAAGATAAGTGTTACTTTTTTGTTCCGCTTATAGCCCCAATTGTTGGCTCCGTAATTTCTTGCCAGCTTTACGATAAGTTAATTGGTCCGCTAATTGAAGGGGCCGACGCGGATAAAACCGGCGTGGAGGTGTAAGACACTGTGCTATGTGGGGGAAATGCTGAAAACTTTTACCACAGAAGAGCAAAGTAACATGGAGGCACAGCACTTCCGCGCAAGTGCTTACACATAATTAGAAGTGCGCCCTCCCTACGTACAAACGTGTAACCGCCCTTTGTAGTATATATTTTATGCTACACTTTTGTTATGCACTCTTTTTAACGCTGTTGTTTTGAAGCAAGCCATTTCATTCTTGCTCTTTAAAATTGTTTTCCTATTTTTCCAAAACGTAGGAATGCTGCACATTAGTGGTGTTGCCCTAAATGGTAAAATTAATTCTGTGAGCATACCGTCTGTGTGCATCCCTTCTGTGTGCATGTATGCTAGAGTGCTCGATTCATTTCGTGCGACAACGTACATACATCCATACGCAGGTTAAAATGGGACCC